CCCAGTGAGTCTTCAGAGAAGTGGTTACCGTCTGTCCGCTGCTCAGCCGGTCCTTTGGGGTATTGTGATGAGTGCCCCCCACTTCCGGCCATCCGCATCCTGCAGGCTCCAGGCCCGTATTGCCGCCTTCTCTCTCCAGCTGGCGCCCCAGGTTGGTGCTGACCCCCTCTACTTCCGGTGACCTTCCCAAAGCCGCACAGCTCTCAGTAAGGACCCCGTTCTCCTTCTCCACAGGTGTCCCTCCCTGACCCTCCTCCAGCAAAACGCACCCATGCCCTCGCTCTGCACCCATTACTCAGCTGGTCTGCCTGCAGTGGCCGCTGGCCGGACCCTTGCCTTACCAGGTTATGAAGGCGAGCAGCACGTCCATTATTACTTTGCAGGTTCCAAACATATTCAGATGGGTCACTTTAAACAGCCTATTGCCACAGCGGCCCTGCGAAAGAGATGGAGGTGAGCACAGTACCTTCCAATATGTAAGTCTTAAAAGACCTTAGCAGACCGGGGCCCGCAGGTGGTGTGGTGGTGAAGGGCACTGGACTCCCACATGGTTGACTGCAGTCCAAGTCCTGGACTTAGCGGCTTGCTTTCTCTGCCCCTTTCTAGTCAAATTAAAGTAAATAAATAAAATAATTCTTTTAAAAAAAGACATTAGCAGATATTTTGCAAAGACTTTAAATTGACAAGAAAAAAAAAGGAACTTAAGGGCCAGCCGGGGGCATGTAGTTGAGGTGGCTGGATCCCACGTGGTTGACTGTCCGGTTTGAGTCCTGGTGGCTTCAATAACATGCCAAGTGCATGTGCATACAAATCCCAAGAGAATAGAGGAGAAGGGATGGTGGTGTCGTCCTCCTCCCGGTGGGTGCTTTCTCATGTCTTCTCTCTCGCTCCCTTTGTGTTTCACCCCAGTGAGTGCATGTTCCCTATTGCAAATTTAATAAAAATTAAAAAACAGCATAGAGATTACTTAAAAAAAAAAAAACTAGTTTCACTATTAGCAAAAGTAGAACACTGATATCTTGCCTATGAAATTAGAAAACGTTAAAGAGTGCTCCTCTCACTGTGCAGCAGCTGAGAGCAGTGGCACCCTAACTTTTCGTAGAAGGAAGAGCAAACTAGTGGCACCTCCGATGGCTGACTTGCCAACACATATTTAAAAAGAAAGCCATGAAACCACCCAGGGATTGCTCTCCAGGAACTTAGCCCGAGGAAATAAACAAAGTTATGTAGGGTGTTTTAACTATAACGATATTTGAAGTACAGCCATGCAATAAAATGCCCTGAAGAATTAAAAATGATAATGTGGAAGAATATGCAATATCATCCAAAGCTTTTTGATACAATAAGTAAAAAAGCTGATACAATGATACATACTGTCCGTGCCCCAGTGTATCACAGAGACACACATAGATATGGGTATCTTGCACCCACTAAGTGGCAAGGAAGGTTATTTCCAAGAGATGGCATTATGGGTGATTATTTTACTTACTTATTTATTTATTTTGGAAAGATTTTTGGAAAAGGGTCCATGTGCTTACCAGAGAGACAGAGAGAGAGAGACAGAAAGCAAGAAATCACCCTCCAGGGAGGATGGCCACACTGCAGGATATGGGGCAAGCACACACACATGCCCAGCAGATTCTTAAGCCATCGGGTCTGGGACTCAAGCTGTTGTGAGAGTCCAGCCACATAGCAATTACACAATCTTGGGACCAGCAGTTAGCGTAATGGCTATGTTGCTGGGACTCCCACGTAGTCGACCACGGTTCGAGGCGGACCTGGTGGCTTAAACTCACGCCAGGCATGAGTGCGTGCCTGCCCCAGATCCC